TTCGGAATCTAAAAAAACTAACTCGGGAGAAAGACATTTTTCGAGCAACAATAAAGCAATCGAATCGCCGTACATAGCTATACTTTGGCGAGTTGTCGTTCAAACAACACTATGTGTTGCGATAATAAGTAAGCGTTTGATTTTTGGTCTTCTGAAAGACATTTGTCAAAGACAAAAAAAACCGCGCGCGCAATGTAATACTACTGTCGCTATCTATGCGTCGTTTCGGATACTTATCGATTTTGTCTCACGTAAAAAAATTACACACACCGTGTGTGATATTAAACGTACTTCGAGTACTTCTATATATGTACTGTATTGATAAATAGATTTTGTTTCGGATACTTATCAATCGCGTGCATTAAATATATTTGCGTGAAAACATAAATTATATTCAACGCAATATATATATGTTTGCGCGATATTTCAGCGAGAAAAATTACTCTCGTATATTATACACGTAACATTAATGTGTTAACTTTAACCGTAAACTCGTAAACAATAACGGCGCACTTACACCTGCGAATTAGCGATAACATGCGTGCCTTGAGTTAAATAGCTGCTGATCGACCACATCCGCCCAGCTCCCGTTGTCTATTTTAATTTAGTGTTTTTATTCGCACGCGCGCGGATGAAAACGCCCCGGGGGAACGTTCCGACGTTAATTAATACTAATACAGCCGAGCCTCATTAACGGCAACGTTCATTAAATATTCACACCGCGCAGAGTGACGACAGCCCGTATCACATCGGATCGATTCAATTGCATTGTAACGGCACGGCGCGAAATGAAAACTTGTCGCCGCGCGTCTCTGATACCTTTCATCCACTTTTCCCTTCGCGACGGTGATTCAAGCGCGCTTACAAGTAGACGCGACGAAGCGCGCTCTGTCTTTCTCCGTCGCGGAGAGAAAGAAAAAAAAAAAAAAAAAACGAAGCCGCGCGTTCTGTTTCTTTACCCCTCGTCTCTTTCATAAAAACGGAGCTTCTTTCTGCATTATATTCCCCGAAAAAAATTTCTCGAAACCTGCAAGAGCCACACACACAGACACACACACATACATTTCAATGTCACTAATGATAATACATAATTAATTATTCGCCTACGGCAAAGTAATTATCCAAACTCTATGAAATGTAACCGGGCGCGTATAAGGTGTCTTCTTAAAATCACGATGAGTTACAATTATTTTTCCTTTTTTTTTTTTTGACATTTTTCTTCGTTAACCGTAATTATTTTTTTTCCGTCTTGCAAATAACACATTATTCCGGATTAAACATTACAGAATATCTATTTAGAAGGCTATTATCTTTGATTTTATAGCTAGGATTACGCTAATGAAATGAAACACCTGTCAGCGAAGACGATCGCTTGCGACTTGCGCGCGAAACTCGTATACTCGATTACTAAGTTTTGCTTAAATCAGCGGAAGGACACATTATGTTAGCCGGCGGTAAGATTATCTCCTCGCCATTAAAGTCAGCGTATTCCGCGAACTGGCGGGATGAAGGGATTTAATAGGATTGCGAACGCGAAGATATCTTTGTGCGACGTAAAAGGCCTTGAGTGTGTTGATAGGTTAACAGGATTAAAGTGGATTCAGCGTGACCCCCGCGCTACGAGATATACTTCTGTTTAAACCACCTTTCTCGCGGGAGAGAACGCGAATCTGAAATTTTGTCCGCGCGTGCCAGTCAAAAGAGCGTGTAAATAAAAATAGGCTAGAGCGAAGTTGCGGAGTGAGCGGCGCGCGACGAAAATCCCGGACTCAAACATGTAAATTACGCCGGAAAATATCATGTAAATGCGATTTGCTGCGCGCGCGGCACTCGCGGTGTCGGCCTGAAAACTTTTAGCTCCAAAACAGTCTGAATTAATTTGCTGTACAGGAATGAGAGATCCGACAGCGGAGGAGAGGACGAAAGATATAACGTATACGAGTACTTACGCGACTTCGTACCCGGGTGCATCGCATCGCATCTCGTCGTTAACACATTGAAATGTTCCGTGTCGGATTATTCCAGATTTTGAATGCGTCACAGAACGCGAAAAATAAATATGTGCGTTAAATTCCGCGTAGAATTATATTCGCGCGGTGTAAATTTTTTCAATTTGTTCAAATGTTAAATAACTCCGGTGAGTATCACATTGCGATTAAAAAGTCAATCAAAGAGAAAATTAACTAACAGAACGTTTGACGTGTAACTTTTCCTGTTTCTGTCTCTGTCTCTGTCTCTCTGTCTCTGTTTCTATCTCTGTCTCTATCTCTGTCTCTGTTTGTCTGTCTGCCTGTTTGTCTACCTTTATCTATCTCTCTCTCTCTCTCTCTCTCTCTCTCTCTTTCCCTTTCTGGCTATCTGTGTTTATCTTATATTTTTACTGTTAGTTTAAAATGTTTTGGCGTCGTATTTTTCGATAATGACGAAATCCCGTCCCGCTATGCACAACGTCATACACATGTACGTATAACTCTCCGCACTCTATATTTCACTGTGTAGATTTTCATACCTTAGATCAAAGAGGAAAAATAAACAAACCGCGAGCGCGCTATCTATTTGCAAAATATATGTGGAGAACAACGCGCGAGTTTTTTTTTTTTTTTTTTTACGCGGAACTCACCGAGACATGCATACTCTACTAAAGCGATGAATCGATGTCGTTTTGCTCGTTTTGGAGCGCGATTGTATTCACTCAAACTTATCCGCCGTACAATGCGCATAAAGGATCTCTTACAAAGGCCACCATGTACAGGTATTTAACTCGATTAAGAGTATAATCTCGCTCTGCCGTTAATTCTATCTCACGCTTGTGTTGCACAATGTTTCCGCGAGCTCCACGCTGAGAAGAATGCGAAATGACGTGTTCGCGAGCTACCCCCGTGACCTAACACATTAATTTCGCAAATAATTTCGCCTCTGCACCGATGTTTTAAAATGCACTACATATCTTGCTATATATATATATATAACTAGAGTTCAATTGTTTAATTAACCTGTGTATACCCAGGTGTTGAAAATGGAGTCAGAATAATTATAATACACGCTCTGTGCTTTGTAAAGAGTAATTTTTAAGTATATAAAAATAATTCATAATATATATTAGTGCATGGAGTAATTTTGTTTATATATTTGCAATTATAATATACTAAATGATTGATTTTCACTTTGTAAGACTAATGTCTTATTCGACGCTATCTCTTTTACCTGTGTGTTAAACGACATCTTTTATAAAAGACTTTTTTTAACTCGAGCGCGAAAGCTTTCGATTAAAAGTCACTTTCAGTATCGAATATTTATAGTCGACCTCTTTTGAAACCGCAAAACGACAGTTTTGGGACCGCAACTAAATCTAGTCTTTTTCAAGACACGTTTCACCTGAGAGGTCAAACAATATTGACAACCGAGAGATGCGCGTACTTATAGTAAGCTCCGTAACGGACGTTTGCTGGAAATATATATGTAAGAACTGAAAATTATATCGTGAATATTTTAGATGTCATATTTTTGAACATTCGTATGTAACGGACTGAGAAATTTCACGACTCGAGATTGTTATGTTGTTTGCGCGACCGTTCAAGAGAGATAAATATTTTCCGTTTTTTCCTACTCAAAATCGCGTTCCAATAGATTTTGTATCGCTAACAAAATGAAACTTTCGTGCGGAAGTTTCATATTTAATTAATTAAATTTACTATATTTTAATGAATAACTTTTATTTAAACAACTAAATTCCAAGGAGAATCTCCTACACATATGACATCACAACAATTTACGTTTTACAACAATATATCTACGACATAATGTCTAATAAATCTCAAAACTCTTTAAATAAAAAATACAAAACGTAAGCACCTACTTTTTTTTTTTATCTATATATGTATACGAAAAGATCTTATACACTGTACACATATTCAACATTTAAATTAATCGAGCAATATTTTTGAGATTATTTGCATAACTATGCGTTCTCCTGATCGCTAAATTCGAAAAAAGATTGCGGAAAAGTTCAAAACCCCTCTGCCTCCGGCAACCCTTCTGATCTCCCCTCCCTTCTTCTCCCTTCCCGAGCCACGACGGATCAAACGTGCCTCTCGCTCGCTGCTAATGCAAATTTCACGTGTTCCAGAAGCATCGATCGCTTAATTAATCTGTACCGACGTAAACGTGGAGGGTGGCTGCTGGTGGCGCGACTCCCCCGCGGCGAGGCGGTTTCCCAATGAAATCGAATTTTGCGAGTAATCTCGGGCGTTTTGCGAAGAGGAGTATCTCTCCGATCGAATCGCCGCGCCGGCGGCAGAAAGCGAGAGAGAAATTTGTTATATTTCGAGGAAAATTTATATAAGAGCAAAATATACATACATTAGAATAATAAATTTGAAACACACGCGAAAAAGTACTGTGACTATAGCAGAAATTGACAAACAGAAAGCGCGAAAAACAAAAGTCAGAAGTTTTGTGCATGTGTATATACACAAAAGCTTTCGAGAATATTAAGAAAGAGAAAAAAAAATACGCTATGCGCGCTATATGCATATAATGAATGATTGTGCATCGTGCTGATGAATCACAAATAGGAAAACCGTAATTAAGAGACAAGAAAAATGGAAACGAATAAACGGCGATAGCGAGAGAAAGAGAGAGAGAGAGAGAGAGAGAGAGTCCGTGTTCTTTGGCGTCGAATAAAAATCCCAATCGACACCACGCGCCATCACTGAGGAACATCGGAAAACGAACGACTCGTCACCGAGCACCGCGCCGCTCGGACGCCGGCTAACGTCACAACCCTCTTGGACACGAAGGGCGCTCGGCAAACACTGACTCACACGGTCCAGCAACGCGGCTCGCCTTGATCAATCAATCGATTTCTCCTCATCTTCCGATAAATGCAATTTACACCGATAATGGAAAGCACACGTCCGTCGACGAAGATCTACTTTCTCTCCTTTTCTCTCCCTCTCTCTCTCTCTTTCTCTCTTGTTTCTAAAACGTGTCGTACTTACCCCATGACTCTCGTTTCAACGTTTGCTCCGTTCGTCGATAGTTCTTTTCTTCGCAGCAAAACACCTCCAAGTCTTCGAACGTTTTCTTCCAACATGTTTCTGCTCACCGCAGGACGAGAAGAAGTAACTTGCGTGCATCTCGCGAGTGTGCAAGAGATTGCGCTCCGTCGTCGCCGGATGCAACGATCGTGCGCCTTATACGACATGACCGATACGCTTCTCTTGGACGAACTGAGCTCTCCCCCCCTCGCGCCGGCTTAATATAGCACCCCCACCCCTCTAGTGTTCCCCTGGCGATCCCCCACCGCGGCGGCAACCCCTGCGCGCGAGACGCCGCCGTGGGGATGTGGATCCTGGTGGACCATCGAGAACCCCCAGCATCCCCCTCGCATCCTTTCTCACCCCGACGACGAAAGTGGGTGGCAGAGGGAGGAAGAGGAAGGCAAGCGGAAGGGAGAGACCGCGCATTCTCTCGCCCCCCCTACCCTCTTTCTCTCTACAAGAATCGGCCATCTATCTCCCACTGCTTGTCTCTCTGAGTACTCTCCGTTGGTCCTCCTCTCTCTCTCTCTCTCTCTCTCTCTCTTCTCCTTTCCCTCTCTCGCTCCGCTGCTCCTTTTTTGCAACTGACGTTTGTTAAGATGACTTTCATTATCATAGCCACTGCTGGCCCCGTCTCGCTCTCTCGTTTGCCGCACTGCTATTCTCATTTTCATTATTTTTATATTCGGGGGTGCCATAATTTTAGTTTCGCGTTTATTATTTCTATCTATAGATTTTTCTCTCGCGACGACTTTATTGCGAATCTCGCCTTTTCCCTCTTTTTTTTTTTTTTTGCAACTGAAGTTCTTAAGATAACTTTCATTATTACAGCAAGTAATATATATTTGTTTCTCTCGACTGTAGCTTTAACTTTGTTACAAGAACGTTTTCAATTAATACATGAGACTCCCCCTTTTTCCCCTCTCGAGATTGTGTTTCAGAATCTCACATGCTTTCGTTCATTCTCAATCTTGATAATTGAAACAAATATCGCTCCATCAATATAAAATTAAACGGTCGCAATGTGGAGAGAGTGAAAGTATATATATATATACATATATATATATATATATATCATATTGCTATAAAATGAAATATCAAGAACTCGTACTGCTATCAAAAAGTCATTATCTCGATGTTTAGGTACACTATTTCAATTATATTGCGTATATCAAACACAATCTACTTTAATTGCCATTCGTTTCTATTCGCACGCTTTTACATTATTTCACTTAAACTTATGTATTTTATAGCGTAAACTGTGAAAGTTCGCGTGAGTTCATGACAGCAATAAACTTACGATATATTTAAATTTCAACGCAAACTCTCGAGCTTTTACATTTACCAGAGCAAGATTATTTCGCATTATTAATAAACTATCATCTCTTCTTCCGCTTTCTAACTTTTCTTCCCTCTCTGTTCGCGTGTCGTCTCTATCTTGTCACACATCCCTCATCCACTCCGTTTATCGTCGCGCGCTCTTTCTCTTTCCAACTTCACATCCATCTCCCTTTCTGCAATCTGCTCTCGTCTTCTTTATCTCAGGCCTCTTTTCTCCGTCTCCTTTTCTCTCTCGTTCTCTCACCCTTCCCCCTCTTGTAACTCCTCAGCCTCGTTCTTCCGCATATCTCCCTTGCTCGCTTGCGATTTCTTTTCTTCCTACCTTCTGCGCGCCGCATCTTCCCCTCTCTTACTCCCTTTGCGTTGTGCCCCAAATGACAATGCGAAAACTTCGTGGCTCAAAATCCCGCACGGCTCACCGGCCGGAGCTTTTCTACGTTCTCTCTCTCTCTCTCTCTCTCTCTCTCTCTCTCTCTCCCTCTCGCTTATTTTCTCTCTTCTTCTCTCTCCCTTCCTTCTATCCCTCTTTCTTTCTCTCTCGGACAGCGGCGAGCCAGGGAGCACGCGGAGCACGGCAAGCGAGAGAGACCTTACGTGTCACGCCAGGAATGTCCCTCGGGGTCAAACCCGCCGCCCGAGGGGCAGCGACGACGAAGGGCGGCTGTAATAGACGCCTGTATACTCGGATTATCCACGATAAATATTTACGCGCGACGCGCTCACTCAAAAGCGCAGCGTGATCATCGAGCGGACGGAAGCGGTCTCGTTATCAATGAGAGGATATATATCCATGTTTCAAAATGTTTTCCACTCTTATAGAAATACCGCCAATTGCGCTGTACAAGAAATAAAATTTGAAAATCTAAAAGTTTTCTTTGGATTTTTTTTATTTTCTTATTTCGGCGCGTCTTCGACGAAGACGTGAGGTTTGTAAATTTTTTAAAAATGTTTTCGAATTTGTTTCAATTGGCAGATTCTTGATCGATGATCCATAGACTGTGTTTTTCACTTGACGAAAACTCACTGTCTGAATCAAGTAATTGGCATACTTCGCGTATCCGAACGCGAGGTATCAGAGTGTAGCTGCCAATATTGTGCGTGCATCAAGAGAAGCGCGCGCGAATACAACGAATGTTCGCGTATTCGGCGTGCGGTAATTGAAATAGCTCGCGGATTGATCCCTTTCCCATTCGAAATTGCATCGCGTTAATTATTATGTCACTAGTGCGTTTATTTCATTTGGGCAACACCCAATATAATTTATCTGATCCATAACGTTATTCATAATTATATTCAAAGATGTTTTTCGGATTTGAAATCCGCGTATTAGTATCATTTTTATACCAAGCGTCAAATATCAGGTTATTTAATTATATATTTGACACGCATTAATAACATTATTTTATTTGTTTACTGTACTTTAATATTACTTTTTGTATTTATGCGTATGTGTGGATGTAGCATAATCGCATTGTGAGTTGCGATAATTACTTTTGAAGATACTCGAAACGTAACAAATTCTTTTTGCGAAAAGCGACGGTACAAAACGAACGAATCGACATAAACTGTCGTAAAAAGGAAAGTATCATATATGTTGCATAAATTTTCCGATATGCGTGTTGTCCGCTCGTAAATCAGTCGCATTAAAAATGTGCGAAACTTTGAAAATCGTGCTTTCACGCGCGCATGTCTTTCGTAGGACTCGGATCTCTCGGGACTTCCCCGGAACAGACGTTCGAACTTCCCGCGCGCTTTTTGCTCCATTACTTCTCTTGTGACCTACTCGTAATTCATGTGTGGCGGACCACACATCGTACACTTGACGCGCATAAATATCATTATCTCCAACACAGGCCGCATAAAAAAAGAAACTTTGATTTACCTATGGATAACGTGGTCTCTTTCTCTCACTACTCGAAGAGTATATTTCACTTTATTTCCACATGCAGTACAATTTTTTTATTTGTTTTTTTTTTTTTACAATCAATACATATGACATATTTGTATAAAATTTGTTTGAAATTTGTTTGAAAAAACTAGTTTTGCATTTTGTCAAAATAACAAAAGCAGTGAATATAAAATAGCTTTTGCGGACGTTTAGTTTCATTGTTATATAACATGTGTGCGTGTAACTTGTTTTAATGAAAACAATGAACAATTAAGTTGGTTTTAATTTTATACGCAATTTTTTTAAATAATACTCATAATATTTCTCTATTACGTGTCTATATATGATATTCTAAATGCCATTGCGTCACGATTAAAGTGCCAAGACTGTCCGAATTCAATTTGAAGGGCGGCTTGAACAGTCGAGAATTAATCAACGCGTGGCAAATCCATACTCCGACACAGCAGATACGTATAATCCAGCTAGCGACCGAGGAAACATGACTGTATCAAGCGCAGTGCAACGACCGCGCACTATACGCGATTATTTATTAGAAGCCACCTGATCCTTGGTTTAAATTTATTCGCATGTGCATAACCTTCCTCATTCCTTTACACGTTTCATCGTCAAATAGTTTAGAATTTTAGATTAAAAAAACTCCATTTCTGTAATTTAGTCAATAATCGACACTTCGATGATCGTATACACATTGTATACAATCTATTATTATATTTTAAATACACATATATATGTATTGTACAATTAAATAATACAGAGAATTACATTTTTTTTATAGATATACGTTTTGTAAAATGTAATTTAAAACGCAACTAGGAATTAATTTCCTCTCATTTAATTTCTCACATTTCAGCCTCTCAGAACTTATGTTACATAATTCAATATAAGCAGCCAAGCTGCAAGACAGAATATAACCGAGTTCAGAATCGCATGAAGCACAGTTTTCCTCATGAATAATCTCTACCGAGAATAAGCGCGCGCGTACACTTATTAAACTTGACAATAATTGTCTCATCAAGAGCTTAAAAGTTGCATAATATGCTAACAGCAACGATATGTATATCTATCGGTTGCGAGAAAGAGAGAGAAAGAGATATGATCGGCGTCCGATAATCTAATCAACAAATCGGCCGACGATATGGTGTCAGGGCCGTGTCACCTGAAGCGACCTACCTGACCTCCGCTGCACGTACGTGTAATGCGTGCGGGTGGCCGAGCGCAGAGACACGCAGATAGAGAATGATGACGAGAGAGAGAAAGAGAAAGAGAGAGAGAGAGACTCGTATAGAGGGTGGAGGGTCAAAATCCCCTGGTCTCTCTCTCTCTCTCTCTCTCTCTAGGAATTCCTCCCTGCGGCAGAGATAGTGGCGAGGGGTCGACGGGGTTAGCGGAGACGTCACCCCTTTCGCGGCTACCCCAGATACCCCACCAGGATTGCCGTCGTGGTCCTGGTGGGGTCGGTAGGGATGCTGTCGTCATGACAACCGGCGCGCACAGTGGGGGCGCAGGACAGAGGGGCCCGCGACGGTGGCATTGATCGCTGCGCGCCCATAGACCATCACAGTGGTGTTGCCACGGGTGTAGAAGGGGTGAATACGAGTGAGCATCTCTCCCTCACTCCCCGCGTTCTCTACTTTTGCTCCCGCGCTCGCGCGCTCGCGCGCGCACGCAAGAGACGAGAGAGGAGAGACCGCGCTCGTACCGCACGCATTATGGACTTCTCGTATTCGTACGGAAGCATGCGTCCAAGTATGGACTTACGTGCTTATGCGCGCCCCTCGAGCGAGGCGTGAATGATTCGCGACGCTATATTCAAGCGGCGTGCAGACGTCGCGACGCGGACGAGAGATGCGTCTTCTCTCGCGGGGAGAATGTTGCAAATTTTTGCCGGTCGTGAAATAATTTTTTTTCTGTTA